GGAAAAAAATTGCGCGATCACTAGCACCTATGGGATGGTAAGCAGGAAACCCCCCCCCCCCCCCATGTAAAATTTCGTGACGCCACCTCTTGTTTTACATTATTCTCTACCTCCTATTATTCAGCTTCAGTTAAACAAGTAGAAATAAAAAAAAAATTATGCACAGTATGTTTATAAACCACTATAAAAAGCATGTAAAATGTAGGTCTGTGGATAAAAAATAATATACTTTACATCAGAAAGAGCCCTCCCCCAATCCCCAGCATTAGTAGACCACTGTGAATTCAGGACATAAGGCCAGAGAGTGTTACCTTGTAAGATCATGATTTAATTTGAATAAAATTGTCATTAGCACATTTCTCCAAACAAGCATACATAGGTGAGAAAAGTAACACTGTAACTTATACGGGAAGTGCTGTTATGAAAAAAAATTGTTAGGATAAACATGTCCCTATATTTAAATAATTTCGCACTCAACCAGCAAAAAAAAGACTTATTCATTAATAATCAGCATGCGGTTTCATTTTCGAATGTAATGCAACAAAGTGGTAGAATAGAATATTCTTTTTTTTATTTGTTGTAGACTGAATCTATATAGCGAGTGCACCAAATTTTAACATAACCATATAAGGTATGATTTATGTAAACAACAAACCATTTCAATAAGTTGTGTTGAGTCATTAAGTCTAAAATGATATTTACATTCATGGAGCCTCCCCCTAAGTGTTAATCCCAAAGTTATTAATCCATTTTCATTCTACCCACTGATAACATTTGCAGCCAACATAACATTTCCTTGTTTCAACACTTGGTGGCGCCATTAACATTTTCCTCTTCAGGCAAAAGTTCAGCTAATCATACCAGATGTAGATTTTTACTGAGGGGGAAGGTGAGAAAAACTGACCTGTTCCAGTAACTCCAAAACTGGTCTTTCAAGTATGTGTTATGACTGTATTCATCACCAAAAGATGCTTTACTTTCGATCCAGTTCACTACCTGTCCATCAACAGCTGCAAAAAAAAATCTTTTTCAAGGAAAAACATGCATTTTGAAAAGTGATTTATGGAATATTAGAAGTGGTACATTTTGATATGATGAATAGCAGAGGACTCTTGTCCTCCAATAGTATAACCCTTTGAACACCATACATTTCTTTAGCCCAATTTCTGGTATTTTTGAATAATTTTGGACCAAATTGTACATAATCTCCCAAATTTGTTGAAAAATGTGGATAAGATTATGCAGGTTTATCTCATAAATGAACATGGTTATATTTATTTATTCATTTATTGGTGATACTAAGAAGTTTTCAGATCTAAAGCATTTTCTTTTTCTAACTTTCAAAACAAAGCTGTATATAACCATACCACCTGACTAGCAAACAATGACAGTATTTGACAAATTATCTTCCAATTTTGCACAAAAATAGAAAATTTGAATGTATTTGAATATCACCACAAACTAAAATTGCTTGATACAAGTGAGCATTTGAATCAGGAAGAAATAATGAACAAGCAGCCTGTTGGCTGATATAGCTCTGCTGTGCCTGATGCACTAGAAAAGAATATCAAATTAATCGGTAGTTTTCAAAAGGACACATGAAATAGTTTTTTTCCATGAGAATAAAATAAATATTCACTAAAATTAGAGAATTGAGTGTATCCTCACTAAATGAACAAATCCAATATAGTTTCACCAAAGTTACCTAAATATATAATATTAAAGAAACTGGGCATGCAGTTTTCAAGAACAAGTTTTCTTACCAAACATATTCACTGAAATGAGTGAATTGAAGGTATTAACACAAAATGAACAAATCTGAGAAAAAAACAGTCAAGGTACTTTTGTATTGAGTACGAAATTCATACACTACAGAACATGGAAAAAGTTAAAAATGTGAAAGTTTACACTGGTGTACTAGCAGTTATATGAATAGCTTTGCTCAAAGTCGACAGCAGAGCTAAAAATATCTTCCTCTTTGCCTACATTACCAATATTGCTGTGACATTAGATGAGGAATACATCCGCCAATGAAAAAAGCTTGAGTTCAACTGACCCTGAGTGACGGGAGTGTTATAATCCCAGTCACTATGTCTGACGCAGGTTTGCCACCAAATATAAAGGTTATCAGAGACCCATACCATAATGGATGTCTTACCACCAACTTAGAAAACTCATTAGGATAAGATCAGATACGCTTAGCTGCAGTTTGCTGCCCTATGCTTACCAATTGGGACTTCTAATTTAATATCAGGAGTTTTATCATAGCCCCGACTTCTCATCTCATCTTCATCTGTGGAATAAAGTAAAAAAACACCGAGTTAATAAAGTGGAGTGAGCTAGTCTTCTTCTCACTTTGAGGCGCTTACTTCAAGATAAATTTAGATCAGCCACAAAGCTCTCTTGTCATGCATGATTCCGTGAAAGAAGAACATTTCACTAGATGTAGTTTTTCTGTCAAATAAACTTGGGTACTGTTAACATGTCTAGTTAGTGCTTGTTATACATCAATTCTGGACAACTATTTTCTATTGCATAGTTTCTCAACAACGCTTTGAAAGAAAGCAAGAAAGCAGATGTTATCTATTTTGTGAGTAGCTAGAGAAAAGTTTGGACAATAAACATGTTAAAATTAAATGATAAAAACGAATGAATCCAAGGCAACATGACACAGTCACATTCTGGATACATTTAGAATCCTATCACAGTTACAAAATTAAAACAAAAATTTTTATAGTGTAAAGTTTTCTATAAAAAGCATGAAGTGAGAATTGTGAAAAGTCTCTTGCAATCAATATATCAGAGAAGTTGAACAATCACAGCTAGTGAAGAGGAAATACAAGGTTGGTTTGTTTGTGAATACATACACCATTTCTCACTCAAGAAAAATAGAGTTTGATCTTAATTATCTTTACCAAATATATGAAAATGCTGGAAACAACACACTTCATTGTTTGTTTTTTTATTTAATTTTATTAATAATAATCGAAGGAGGCATACTAAAAGATTATAAATCCCATGAAAAAAAAGTCCATATCTAGTGAAAGGCAATAAACAAGTTTAGACGCTTTATTGGTTGACCTTTGTTAACCCTCACCTGCAATCTGTCTGAATCAATTTTCCCAAGATCTTCTTATACTTTGATCTCAGGATCCTTGATGTCATTTTAGGAGAATATGACTGGAAATTTAAATCATCCCTCGACAACATTTCACTCATTTCATGAAGCGTTTACAAATGACAAACAACAGATAACTTCCATCAAATTATAAAAATTTAATCCCTACAATTGAGGATAATTTTTTGATAATAGAAATGTTCCATGTTGAGCTGAGAATTGAATATAAAACACTGACAAATTGTACTAGTTTTGCCAACATCCAGACAAACGTAACAGTTTGCGTTCATTTGATTGACAACTAGTCATACTGTTTTTATGTATTTAATTGCTACCTGTCACCAACAATCAGGAGTGGGTCAACCTTGTTGCATAATTTTACATAATAATAAGTTGCTACATTCCCCTAACCTGTTCAGAGTATGCCAGAGTTGAATAACGCACAATGAGAATTGTCATTTCAAATTATGCTTTTAAACAGACTATATTCTATTAAAATGAAACTATAATCCAGTGATTTATCCCCCCCTCTCATATCTCACTTGACTCCGAAATTAAACCTGAGAATATAACATGTAGGGGGGGTCGAATGACACAATCTGTGTAATTGATGCAGCACCAATTTAGGAACGAATAAGCATAATATCTATTTTGCTGCATGCTGTGCCTCATGCATATGCAAACACATCCCAGAAGGAGTTTTTAGGCTCTACACCATGCCATATGGCATGCTTTTGTGGACACAAAAACCCTGAATACACTGGAGAATTTCACTTTAAAAACCCAAAACACAATGGAAAAGACAATGGGATTATCATTTCCTGATAAAGATTACAAGCAATGTGTAACAAACAAACAAACAAACAAAATGAATTTAAATGGAATTAATTTAAAGGGGTTACATATTTGTTTTTGCGAGTATTTATAGAGGCTTGTTCTTGTCTCTTGTAAGATTATTCCCTCTTAATTAATACAATCGCCAACCAATAATACATGTGTCAACTGAGGCATCAGAAAAGCGTTATCAGGAAGTTTATAAGAAGTTTTAAATTTAGGGAGAATGGCACTACTTTCTCATTTTTAGATTTGCTTTGTTTAAACAAAATTTAGCATGTGGACATTAGTATTTTAGATGAGCCTTATTTGCACTTTCTATATTGCATTCCAAGGTTTCTTTTGACTGTGGAAATCTAGTGTATAAAGTCACCTTTTATTACACATAGTATTGCAAGTGACAGGCATTCATTAATAAATACAACTTGAAATCAGCTTTCATAGGAGTGAATCAAATGGGAAACCCAGGAATATAGAAGAAAAGACCAACCTTGATAGAATAGAAAATCATTTCCAGATTTTTGAATTTGGAAATTGATAAATTGATGTGGATGTCTTGTTAAATCTACAAGCACGATTATTTTTAAATTGGCTACTACTTGCCAAAATTGATGAAATCTCATTATTTGAATAGCACACAGCTAACATTTATACCTTTATCAACGTGTACTCTCTGAAACCTAGGGTCAGACATTATGCAATAAGGTGAAAGCATTAATTTTCACTCCCATTTAGATTCACACTATTTTGACGTTTGGGCATTTTCACTTCATTTCACTGATTTGACAATAAAACATTATTGTTATAATTCACATGGATTTAATTTATCAAACTTTACTTATCATCAAAATGAAAAATTCTTTATTTAATGGTTTTACAGTATGTCCTCAGATATCTGAAGCTAAAGCGACAAAGTTGCCACGTAGCATGCATTCAAATTTCACATAGACAAAAAGTACACTTTTTGTATACTAACGGGGGGTGGGGGTGGGGTGGGGGGTGTGTGTGTGTTTGACGTCACATGAGACCTATATCAAATAGTACGTAGTGTGACGATTGTGGAGCTTTAATCGATATTTTACCACTTACATTAAAATGCAGAAGTAAAAAGAAATAGAAACACAACTTTGTGTAGACTCGAGTAGCAAAACGAAAATTATGACAAATGGTATAACAAAAAGTTTGATGTATACATTGGATATCTTTGTTTACATACCAAAGACATATGAGCATTAACTTTAAAAACAAACATTGTTTGTCATGATCCAGACTGGCAAACAAACACAACACTGGACAGCTAATAATTCATGTGTTTGTTAGGTCATGTTTTTTTTTTTTCATAATTAATCTTTGAGCGAGAGTATCAATTTTTCATTATTATTGAGAAAATTTACTTTTTTTATTGACAGGTCTCACTGAAAATTGGCACACATGTTTGAATACGAGAAAGATGAATGTTCTTTAGTTTAATACAAAAGCACTTTTCTCTAAATGTTGAGAGACATGAGTTATGGTGGTATTGATTAACAATTTGAAATATTTATTGGAAGGTTTATCTGATCCTCAGACTGATTACAGAGTTAATCTGAATAAAATTTGTAAAATAAGTACTGATTAGTTTTGATGACGATAAATATGAACATGTATCGACATCAATTACCCTTATCTATTCAAACTATAGAGATCTGTTAACAATTTTATTATTTTAGTTACAAGTATCCTATCCCACCTGCTACCAATGTTTCTAATGTCACAAATTACATCTCTAAGCATTATCTAATGTGATTAATTATTCATTGTTCAATTCAGACAAACAAATAAGTAAACAAGCAGTCTCTCGGCTGAGATAGCTCCGCTGTTAGCAATGCACATTTCAATAAAAAAAAATACCATCACAAAATGAACAAATTTGAGAGAGGTCCACCTGTAGTATCTTTATCAAATCAATCAGACTCGATTTTTTTAATAAGTCAAAAATATCACTTTTTACCAAAATGACAGAAATATTCATCATAATTAGAGAATTGAAGATTAACAATCTGAGAGATCCACCTGCAGTACATATATGTATAATATCAAAGCAATCGGACTTTCATTAAGTTTTCAATAAGAAGTCAAAAATATCATTATAATTAGAGAAATGAATATACCACGAAATGAACAAATCTGGGAGAGATCCACCTAAAGTACTTATATGTATAATATCAAAGCAATCAGACTTGCAGTTTTCAATAAGAAGTCACAAATATCACTTTTTACAAAAAATACAAAAATATTCATCAAAATTAGAGAATTGTAGATATTATGAAATAAACAAAACTGAGAGAGGTCCACCTGTAGTACTCTATGTGTATTATATCAAAGCAATCAGCCTTGTTTTCAAGAAGAAGTTGAAAATATCACTTTTTACCAAAAATGACAAAAATATTCACGATGATGGACAATCACTCATATAAGCCCTGCTCGACAACTGACGTTGAAATAAGTATAATAAGTTCTTCATTTCACTTTTAGTTTAAGTTAATACGTATCCAGTTTAAACCTTGTATGAAACATTTTTCTGGTATCCCCAATTAACTTTTTATTAGCATCCAGGTTGCCCAAATCCCCCAAATAGACAGTTCATCCGGTGTGAGTTGGTTTTGTACAATCATAATTAACCAATCACGATGATCATTGCATGTTTCATTACAACCAATCACGATAGTGACTGTGGAATCATTTACGACCAATCACGATAGTGATTGGCAATCAGGAACATCACACTGTAAACTGTGATTATTGTAATTATAGATAGCAGACAGACAAACGGAACAGCTCAAGCAATGGCTGGACTCACAAGTATTTCCTGAAGGTTTTTAACTAGCAGTGGGCACATGGTCTGATAAATAATTTTGAATAATTTGATAGTGTTAAATAAAAGGTCAAGAAAAAATTATGATTATGATTATGCATTTTGAATAGCTTCCTAATTTTAGTACTTACGTCAAAATAATCATATTATGATCATGCAGATCAAATTGAACCACGGTACATCAAAAATAATATTATCTTCAGAAAAATATTTCAATCTGTTGTTATTAAATTTGAATACAATGTGTTTCTGGTACAACAAAAATATTGTCTTCTGAGGCTGAAATAATACTAAGACACTTATCGTCTGTGTTGTATACATTCTGCATTTGTCTCATAGCCCACTGAACTCTAAATGCTCTAAGTAAATTTGCTGCACATGTAATCAGAAAAATTGTAGTTTCAACTCATGACAAGTGTGTATGGTAGGGTTGGGTGACAACAGCATGTAACCTCAACCACCAGGACGAAACACACATTTTGTAAAC